AGATGTTTCTGAATGATTCTTCCTCCCGTATTACTGAAGCTGTCGCTATTTTTTTGCTTGAGATTCTTAAATTAACTTCCAAGTTATAACCCGTTGTGTTTATTGTTAGTAATCCCAGCTGTATTTATGCCAATAAAGGTTTGGAGAAAGAAAGAAGACAAGATTAATATGACAAACAGAAAAATTGTTTAGAGGAGAGGAGACAACAGAAGCTCAGTTGAGGGGAACTGATGTAGTAGAGCACCCCAAAGACACCCCTGTGACCACCTTTGCAGTGGGATAGGTGAGAGTCAAACACATCTAGATTTCTGTTCCTAAGCTGGATCCTGTGATGACTGTTCCCACAACTCTTCTTCGAAGTGCTCCACTGCTTTGTGTGATTCCACTGGGAGCTGCTTCTATATAGTCTAATGCCGGCTTGTCCAACGCGCGCCCCCCGGGCCGCATACGGCCCAGGTCGGCTCCTAATGCGGCCCAGTGAAGGTCCTGCACCTCCCACAATGCTGTGCTAGAATGCAAAAAAAGAGGAGGCGGGCAGAGCAGGCAGATCAGCAACTCCTGGAGCCAGAAAGCTGTAGAGCAGCAGGACAGTCAGCCTGAGCTGGAAATACGCAGCGAGGGGAAGGCGGAGAGGGAGGAGCTGCCCGCCCACCCGCGGAGTGTGTGTGTGTTGGGCACCAAATCCGCCCCACAGTTCAGCCAACTCAGCACCTGGGGGGGGGAAGCAGGTAGCCGAGCCTCTCAACACTATTGCTGCCCGGAGTGAGGGAGGAAGTCAGCCCGGTGGTTCGTCAGGTTTTGGGTTTTCCGGCCGAGCAGAGAGAAGGGCTGGCGAAAGGCTGAGTGTAAGAAGAAACTTTGGAGTTTCAACTTGGGAAGCCAGATCTCTGTTTTCTGCAGCCCTGTTCCAAGTTATAACCCGTTGTGTTTATTGTTAGTAATCCCAGCTGTATTTATGCCAATAAAGGTTTGGAGAAAGAAAGAAGACAAGATTAATATGACAAACAGAAAAATTGTTTAGAGGAGAGGAGACAACAGAAGCTCAGTTGAGGGGAACTGATGTAGTAGAGCACCCCAAAGACACCCCTGTGACCACCTTTGCAGTGGGATAGGTGAGAGTCAAACACATCTAGATTTCTGTTCCTAAGCTGGATCCTGTGATGACTGTTCTCACAACTCTTCTTCGAAGTGCTCCACTGCTTTGTGTGATTCCATTGGAGGCTGCTTCTATATAGTCTAATGGGTGCTGAGATACACTGTCTCATAGACATCTGTGAGTTGCACAGATCCTTGAGTGGCCCACAGTGCAGCAGGATCCTTTTCTTACCATTAGAAGAACTGGCATGGGAGTACCATGGAGATACACATGGCTAAACTTTTTCTGTTTGGGGGGCTTTCACTCCTATAATTCTGCTTGGGGGGCTCTGGGCAAATTATGAGGCTAGAAATCCTAAAATTCTGAAAGTCTCATCCTTAACTCATTTTATTTGGTCAAATTTTACATTGTAACCCCTAATTAGTTGAGCTACATCCCATCCCATTATTAGATTTGGAGTTTGTCATTTCCAGGGTAAAAGGCCGTGCAATTATTTGAAAAGAACTGCTTTAGTTCTTTCACATCAAATGTTACAATCTTTAAGTATTCCTTTTCTTGTTTTAGGATATTGGGTTTGTCTTGATTCAAATTTCTCACATTTTTGGTCCAATTATATTGCCATGCAGCTTCTCTGCACATCAGTCATTGAATGACCTTTTGGGTTCAGGTTAGCTGCCTCAGTAAGAGCACCACTATTCATACTTATTCTTAGTTCTTCCCCAGTTGCTGACTGAGTGCAGAGAGAGTGAGTGAGAGATTCCTGCACTTAGCATGGGTTTGGACTTGATGGCCTTATAGGCCCCATTCCACTCGATTATTTTATGATTCTATATATGAATACACTACATACATAGATAATAGGATTCATTCATACATAAAATATAGTTGTTAATCATAGCAACTTTCTGCACAGTACTAAGGTAGCTAAATGTTCTTGCCATTGTCTGTAAAATATCCCCTGCCAGTGTTGGCTTCCACTCCTGTTGCTGCCCAGCAGTTATCCTTGAAGAATTTCTCTATCCCATCACCACTTGAACTATCTGTGCTCTTCTACTGAGGTAACTGTTAGATCACAGACAGTGGATGCATCTAAAGTCTGGTGACTGAGCAGGGCGATCCTGACAGGAGTCTGGATTCTTAAGAGTCCAGACTCTTGATGGCATTTATCTAAGCTTCCTTTATGCGCTTCAATCCTATCACCACTGGAGAAAAGGCAATTGCCTTACAGCTGGATCTGTCTTGAATAATATGTTAAACGTATGTTCCATAGTGTCTACAACCAGCATTAGTCTGTACTCTCTGTCCAATGTCTTTTTCACAAACATTCTTTTTGTGCTTTGCAAAGCTGAAAGGAGGGGATAATAGGAGATAGAAGAAAATTCCATCAAATTTATTTCCAAGATCAATCTGCTGGCTGCATTACTGTAAAATAGAACAGAAACTGCCACTTGATTTGTTGGATGAGAAGTCAGTTTTCAGAACAATGACCAAACAATATACTTGCATTAGGCCAAGGCATGGGGTACAAATAATGGGGCTTATTAAATCAACATTGATTCAACAGGTCTGCTCCAACTGGAAATATTAATATGCAAAATCTTGATAACAACCCATCATTTAAACCATATCTTGTGGCACATGAAAAAGCTTTTGATTACATGTCTGTTACATTTTTCACCCGACATGACTGACCCCAGCTTCCATGCTGTGATATGGGGCAAGATGGCTACATGACTAAAAATGGAAAGGGAGAAGAGATGTAGGATACGAAGTGAAGGCAAGCTACAAATAGAGAAGCAAAAGAGCAGACAATACAAAAAGAGAACACTACAGAGACCACTAAACACCTGAAAACCATGGAGATTCCCTTAGGGGACATCCTCAGGTCACTTAGATCATTTAGGAGGTGACAAACACCTGAAAACCATGGAGATTCCCTTAAGGGACATTCTCAGGTCACTTAGATCATTTAGTTTAGTTCTCTTGGGAAATAATTTCTATGGTCACAGTCTATGCTATGGCATCACAATGATGCTTCACCAGGATACGGAAACAAATCTCTGACGATTAATAAATTTCTCATTGGATTTCAACACCATGGGTTGTACAACACTTGCCAGATTTGCAGTATGACTTCTCTAGTTGGCCATCTTCATTTTAATTTTACTGTTGCATTTTGTAGCTATCAGCTGTCTACAACACTGAAATCCAGAGACCTTAAATATCCCATAATTATAATAATTTTACATATGATTTTATTCATTGTTTTGCTAGGCACATTAAATTGTCTAGAAAAGTGAGATACAAATGTTGAGATAAATACATTAGAAATAAACAATAATAATACACAATAAAAATGTCACTGTCAAGTTTTTTAGAAATAAACAATAATAATACACAATAAAATGTCACTGTCAAGTTTTTTAAAAATCAGTTTAACCAGCTGCCTTCTGAAATGATAAAACGGATAGGTTTCAATGCTTGGCATTCAAATAAAGATCAGGCCACAGAGGTGGTCCTCTTGTGGAAGAATTTCACACTGTGATCCTAATCTGTTTTTGGGGAGTAGATGGGATAATTATAACAACACCATCACAGAAAACAGAATAATGTCTTCAAAGAAATCTATTTTTTCAAGTTGCCTGAAATCACTCTAGGACCAGTATTGAAAAGCAGGAGGGGGCAGCTGATGAAGGTAATAAATATCCCCCAGAAAATCAGTCTACCAGTTAGCATATAATATTACAATATGAATAAATCTTTATCATGCTTCCAAAATGTGAAAGTTAACAAGAAAAAGAACAATCCTCTTTCTGGAATTTCAACTTTTTAAAAAGCCATTTTTGGTGCAAACCTCTTTCTCTGGAATCTGGATTGATTGATTATTTATTTACTTATTTATAATGTTTTTTAACATGCTTTTCTCTTTAAAAGGGACCTAAGATGGCTTACAACAATTGAAAGATCATATTTAACCTAAGAACAATGAGTATATAATACTGAAAGGATGAAAGAATACAGTATCAAAAAACAAAAGCGACACCAAAACGCATTCAATGCAGTAAGGTACAACAATCCATTTAAAACCCCACTCGACAGCTGTTTACTCAGGGAAAGCTTGCCTGAAGAGAAAGGTCTTCTGCTGCTTGTGGAAGGACAGTAAAGACTGGGGATAGCCTAAGCCTCATGTGGCAAGAAGTTCCAGAGTCTGGGATCAGTGACAGAGAAGGCCCTCTCCTGTATCCCTACCATGTGCACCTGTGAAGGTGGTGGGATCGAGAAAGGCCTATCCTGGGTCTTAACACTCAAGCAGGCTCATAACAGAAAATGTGGTCCTTGAAATAGTTTGAACCCAAGCCATTTAGGGCTTTATAGGTTAAAACCATCACTTTGAATTCTGCCCGGTTATGTGATCCTTGTGACCAGCCCCAGTCAGCAATCTGGCTGCTGTGTTTTGGACCTGCAGAAGTTTCCTGACACTTTCCAGAGGCAACCCCACTGTAATCCAGATGGTATGTATCTAATGTGTCAGCGTGGCCAGATCAGACCTCTGCAGGAACAGGTGCAGCTGACCCACTAAATTTAATTGTGCAAATGCACTCCTGGGCACTGTCAAAACCTGAGCATCCAGATTTAAGAGACACATCCAGGAGTATTCTCAAGCTGCGCACATGGGTTTTCGGGGGAGTGCAACCTCATCGAGCACAGGCTACACCCCTATTCCTTGTTTATTTTGTATAATTTTTTAAAAAGGAAGCTATAACCTATACAAAAAAGCGAGTGGTAATCCAATGAAAAATAATGACTAGAGAAATAAAGCAACTATTTGCAATGATTACAACGATACAACAATACCAATTGTTTGACTATATTTCTCCTTTGATTTCAAAACAGAATCAGATTTGAAAAAATAGTTTAGACGGTTTAATAAGAAATCAATATTTATTAAAATATAAATAAAAATCCAGTTGACAAAAAGAAAAGAAGAAGCAGATTTTCTCTCTACATAAATGGCAAACTAATGAAAAACAGTGCTTTCAAAACCTGCAGTCTCAAAAGATGAACAAACTGATCCTCTGTTTAAACTTTAATTCTGGTTATAACTCCAGAAGGACCTTTGTTAAGAAAATTATAATGACATTACTAGTACATTTAGGATTGCATTGTGAGCCTCTGAATTTTCCTGAAGGTATGCAAAGTGCTTTCCATAAGACTATTAAAAACAATTCATTATGTTAAAGCAAAACATAACTGTAGTTATGAATCGCACAGTGCCATTATTTTACAGTATACTTAATTTAAAATTTGCATTATTATTATTAAAACCACCTAAATAATTTGATTCGGAAATATAACTAAGTGTTTTTGAATGGTTTAATTTTTAATGTGAAAACATGGATAAAACTGGCATCCGTCAAATTTAGTTTAAGAGAATAGTTCTTGGTTCAGAATATTTTATGATGGCTGAAGAATGACACTATATAATACTATAGCATTACAATGTGTTAACACGGATAGTTATTTCCTAGGTTAGTTATTAAAAGTTGTGTCATTAGAACAGGACTTTAAAGTTGAATGAAACCATCCATTTAAATGAACAGCCACATTCCTGAGATGAATTAAATCAGTATACTAGAACCAAAGCCTTAGCAACCTTGCTTGTTTTTGGTGGGATTCAATTACTTCAGCTTCAAATATTTTACACTAACTCGCCTGCGGCTTTATTTCTAAATGGCAGGAAAAAAATTTAAAATATGTTTGAATATAATATGGATACACTGTATAATTAAATTAACTGCTAGAATCTTAAAAATCAACCCAATCTTTTTCAGCATTATATTCAATCCCAAACCTTATTAACCTTAAAATATTAAAGCACACAGAGAAATATTAGAAAAGGCCAGGGAGGATTTTTAAAAATAGGCATATGAAGTTAACCAACTATCTCTTTTATTACTATATAAAATTGTCTACATTAAGTAAATATTTTCATTTTGCAACTGCCCTGCCTTTATGGAATCCTTTACCCACTGTTCAGATACAATTTTAAACTTCCTTTCAAAATTTCTTCTGACTGTCTTTAGCCTTTCCAAATTAACATGGTTTCTAATGATTACATGCGACACACCCTCCTTCAGCTGGGAGACTACTTGTGCTCCATGAAATCGAAGTATTAGCGCTACAGTCAACCATCTTTTCTGAGTCATCTTAGTATCTGAGGTGCTCACTTCATCCAATGGATCCAGATAAATGATGTGCTGTCTGAACAAATTTAACAGAGAGCAGTCCCATAAATAGCGTGCTTCTGTATCAGCAATCACATCCCAAGAGATCTTTTCTCCCACATTATTCATTCTTGAGAATACTTCCTTCAACTGAACCATATCAGTATCAACTGTATAGCTATCACCATAGCAGTCATAAACACAAGCGAAGTGTTCTTTTGTTTCTGGGGACATATGAATCATGCAAGCAGGCTGCCAGGGCACAAATGCTTTGGTCTGAAAGCACTGTAAAAGCCATTCTACTCTCACTACATCATACTTGTTAGAAGAAATAATATTTTTCACACGAACGTTTTCAGTTCCTGCAACAACACAATAAGTGTCCACACCAGGATTTTGTACTATGCTCCCACCACATTCCACTATTTTACTTTCCAGTTCACATTTTGTATAATTTTCTGCCCCAGTCATAACGCAAAATTCAATATCTTCAAACATATTGGAAATTTTGTATATATTAGCAAGATCAGGGGCTTTAAAATGATCTATTAAACCAATTTTCTTTTTAACCTTTGACACAGTTTTACGTTTTTTTTCCTGTGGCTTATCAATATCTATATCAAGATGCTTAGTTGCTAGCTTTCCAGAAGCCTTCCCTCTGAGTTGTTCTAAAAGGTTGAGAGTCATGCATTCATGCCATTCTTTATCTTCTCTTATTCTCTCAATTCGAGGGAAACGTAATGTACAGTCAGTTTTGTACATATCGCTATTCACAATCTCAGCTGCTTTAATCTGAACTATGACTGAATTGCAAGGTTCAATGTAGACTTCAGGTTTCTCAGTGCCACACAGAATATTACAAGGAGGATCCCTTTTATGGTAGGGCTTCCAGTATTTTGCTAATTTCAAGCCAAGATCATACAGTTCTTTCATTGTGTAACCAGAACCAACACGGCAAATGGAATGAAACACAGAAGGTTTTTCTCCAGTTGGAGGAGTCTCAGCAACAGCACATAAAAAATGTGACATCATGCCACCACGAAGGCCTTTTCCCCAGTAGCCTCCAACAATTAAAAGGTCTAGTTCATCCATCAGTCCACTGACATACTCTGGTTTGATCTTCAGCCACCCATCCCCACGTTTATCTGGCTTGTAAGTTGACATGGGGTCTTTCACCACAATCCCTTCTTCCCTGTTATCTATAGCTTCATTTAGAGCATCCACTACTTCCTTCCTAGTGCTGGCTTGACATTTAAGAACAACCTGCATTCGACCTGGTATTGGTGTAAATATCTTATTGAGTATCTCATACCTTCTGCTCAGCATCTCATGACCCAGCTTCTGATCATTAACCATTAAGACATCAAATACACAGAAGCATGTCTGTAATTCAGATTCATCTACCATTCTTTTGATGTCAAACCTGCTTCCCTTCTGCATGAAGATCTCTGTGGTGGGATTGTAGGCCATCATTTCACCATCTAAAATGCAGTTCTGAACATTATCTTTAAAGACATTATGAACAAATGGAGTCAGTGAGCCTTCAAGGGGAGATGCACCAAACTGTTGAGTGTAATCATATCCATTTCGAGAAAAATACTTGTAAACATCTCCATCTTTATGCATCTGCATTCGTTCACCATCTAATTTGGTTTCTATATAGAAACTTTGGTTATTCATTTGTTTTTCAATTTGTTGTATGTTGGCAATAGCAGCAAGCATTGGTTTAAAGGCAGAAAATAATGTAATTGAGACATCACTAAGACATACAGAAGGATTGTGCAACTGCCTACAAACCTTCTCCAAATCAGTTGTAACATTATGCAGCTCTGCAGCATCAGGATGGAAGATAGAAAATATGGTTTGCTGGCTTATACCAAGCTTCAAATCTTTTAAGATCATCCTGATCAACCATTTCTGTTCAAGTGCTGAAGTCTGAGTAATTAACTGAAGAAGGCTTTTCTTAACCAGGTCTTTCCTTTTGGCTGCATTATTGTTAGAAACAGAGTCTAACAGAGTGTTTACTTGTTCTATGGTCAGTTGACCTTGCTTGAGACATCTTGGTTTCAATACAAAATAGGCAATTATAGCAAAATCTCCAGCTTCTCTCTGTGAACCAGTAGGCGTACGATAATTTAAAAGTTTTAATGCATCTTTTCCATCTCTGGGTAAATTTAACAGTTCAATATAGAGCTTAGCAAGCATAGTTTCTTTAATTCCATAAGCCATCCTCTCTCTTTCCAGCTGAGGCAGAATAAGTCTCATTGCAGGATAAAATGAGTCGGTCACATCCTTCTGATTTTTATGAAGAGCATCATGAAACTGCCTCCAGGAATCTAAAAAATCCTTGAAATGCCTTGTTTTCTCTGGTCGGGATTTGCATTTCTGTATTCGTTCTAAGGTTGAACACAGATCCACAAAAGGAACTTGTGATGCCACAGTTAGTTGGGAAGCAGAATGTGAAGCAAGGGCAGAAGACATATTTGATTCTCTTTTTCACTACAAAGAAGACAAAAAGTGCTTTAAAACACGTTGCCTTTTGTCTTAAAGCAAGATATTTTCATTTTCTTATTTTTTCACGAAGAAGTCATGCAATTCCACATTTTAAACAAATAAAAATACTATGTCACTATTCTGCCAAAATAGTTGATAAAAGATGAATTTGGATCAAGCAAACTATACTGTCATTGTTTCAACTTACTTAAAGCCCTCTCTGGGTGATTTACAATTTAATTATGCAGGCCTTACACTGCCCCCACCTCCAGAGAGCTGGGTACTCAATTTGCTGATCTCAGAAGAATGGAAGGGTGAATCAATTCCAAGCCAGCTACCTGAATCGGGTGGGATAAAACTCAGCTCATGAGCAGAGGCTTTGATACAGAACTGCAGTTTAAACACTGTACCACCGGGCTCTTTTACTGAAATGTGGCATGAATCAGGTGGAAGAAAATCTCATTGGGTTAAACAGGATAGTGTGCTGAGTCAACACACAGACGACTACAGTCTTATCCCCTGATTAGACAAAGATTCTTAGTGAAGTATTAAAGAAGATGAAAACATTTGGCCCATGGAAATAATTTGGGCCATAGAAACTTACCGTCTAGCTGGCCAAGGGGACTGAAGAAGTCTGCCAGTGCCACACCTACCTGTCCTCCAAACTACACATCTATTATCTATTTGTTTATTCCTTCCTTCCCTTTCTACGAAAATATAGCACTCAAGGCAGCTTACAAACAGGTAAGATCACATTTAGCTAAAGTAATGAAGTCATATAAACCAGTCACACCATACAAACTATTAAAATTAAGCAAATGCATTTACTTCTACGAAAATATAGCACTCAAGGCAGCTCACAAACAAGATCACATTTAGCTAGAGTAATGAAGTCATATAAACCAGCCACACCATACAAACTACATTAAGCAAATGCATTTAAAAACATTAAAATCAGCACAAGATATCAATTAAAAACAACACAGGAGTGCAGGTTAGATCTGCACATATCTCAGCTGAAGGGATTCCCTTGTTTGTAGCTGGCTTTTCCGGCAAGGCGGCAGGGGGACCCACAAAACGCGGACAGAAGAGCAGGGAATGCCCACCCCTTGCACCCTCCCACTGTATCCGTTAAAGGAAGCCATATGAGGCCGGGAGATAATAAACAGCGGGGCAACAGCGGGCAGGGGCCTGACTCAGCCGCTGCACCGTTTCCTACGGTGGTGCCGCCCACAGAAGATAAGATGCTACAAAATGGGGCGCCCATGGCTGGCACCCTCGCCATCCTCGTAGTGGTCCAGGCTGCGGGGAAACTTACCTGGAAAACCAGTGTCAACACTTTCTATTTAAGGAAACAGAACAAGCATTAATACCCCTATCAATAAGTGTCACCATGATGCAGGTCTCCTTCCCTAATCGGAATTTATCTGCCTTCTTTCCCGCCCCTCCCTCGAGGTGACGCTACGAAACAGACACGTCGCCGCTCCAATGGAGTGCGAGAAAAAGCAACCTCCGCTTTGGTCCCCGCCTCTCAATGGGGCGGAGCTTAAAGTACTCCTGTCGCAGTCTTGAGATGACGGCTCAAAAGTTGCCATGGAGACAGAAACGCCGTCACCTTCTTGGGGAGGCAAAAAAAAAAAAGCAGAGCAGCGCCTCCGTTCCTCCTACTCGGCGGGGGTCGCATCCGGAGCGGTCACAACAGGAAGCCCGTCAAGGCCCACGACAGAGTCGTTAGCAGCCTCTGGACAGCGATAGGCTCCGGTACACGACGCCATTGGCGGGCTCTCTCGATTTCCCCACCCTATGCTCCGGAAGCACTTGCTGGGAGTCTTGGGTTCTCTTCCGGGAAGTGGTGATTGACAGAAGAATTCCCGGCCTGGGAGGAAGGACGCGAAGGGGAAATATCCCGCCTCGGAGGAGTCATGAGGTCGAGGCGTCGGGGCTCTCTTTGCCCGAGGCGAGCGCTGGAGGCTTAGGTAGGCGAGCCGCGAAGGAGAGCAGCGCTTCCGCCGTCTGTCCTCCCCGCCCCCCCGCTCTCTCTCTCTCTCTCTCTCTCTCTCAGCCCTTCAGGAGGGGGGCGGGCAGCTGGCTGGGGTCGCTGCCGCTTCCCTTTTGGAGCGGCTTCCTTCGCCCTCTCGTTGGTTGCCCGGGAAGTGGCTGCAGTCGACGGCGGTGTTGCCCTTATGGCAAAACTCCACGTACTATATAGCAGGTCGTCGTTACCCCAGAAACTTCTTTTTACCCCCTTTGGAATGAATCTTGGGGGATTTTTAAAGATCACTAGAAGGACGACAGATTTTGTTTCAGGATTGAGTCCCTCTTTCTCCAGTGCAAGACCGTGGGAATGTAGGAAGTTGCCTTGCAATGGGCGGTGTGTTCTTGTCCTACCGGTATGAGCTCACCAGGGTCTCAGACACGTAACCTAGGTTCTGCTTGCCTGGAATTGCCTGCAGTTGAGCTTAAGAGTTTTCTGCATGCAAAGCGTGGGTTTTAATGCTTGATGTGATTGACCTGCATAATTCAGCAGTATAAATTGCACCGAAAGTGTTTGGATATTAGACATTGTGTGTGTGTGTGTGTGTGTGTGTAGGAGGCAGAAATAATTGGACACTGACACAAGTATTCTTATTTTATGTTTACCAAAACAAATTCAAGTTACAGTTAAATAATGAACATGGACTTAAAGTGCAGTCTCTTAGATTTAATTTGGGAGTGTTCAAATCCAAATTGGAAGAAGGGTTTAGGAATTAGAGCTCTTTGATATGTAGCCCCCTCTTTTTCAAGGGACCAAAAGTAATTGGACAGTTGACTGAAAAAGCTGTTTCAGGGACAGGTGTGGGCTATTCCTTAATTATTTATTCATCAATTAAGCAGATAAAAGGTCTGGAGTCGATTCCAGATGTGGCATTCACATTTGGAACCTGTTGCTGTGAACCCACAACATGGGTTCAGAGGAGCTCTCAATGCAAGTGGAACAGGCCATCCTTAGGCTGCAAAGAAGAAGAAATCCAACAGAGAGAAAGCAGGAACATTCGGAGTAGCCAAACCAACAAATTGATATATTCTGAGGGGAAAAAAGAACACACACGTGACTACAACAGAAAAAGGCTGGATAACAGTGGTGGATGATAATAGGATCCTTTCTGTGGTAAAGAAAAAACCCTTCACAACATCCAGCTAAGTGAAGAACACTCTCCAGAAGGTGGGCATATCATTATCCAAGTCTGCTGTAAAGAGAAGACTTCACAAGAGCAAATACAGAGGATTCACCACAAGGTGCAAATCATTCATAAGCCTCATGAATAGAAAGACCAGATTAAACATTGCAAAAAAAAAATCTAAAAAAAGCCAGCCCAGTTCTGGAACAGCATTCTTTGGACAGATGAAACTAAGATCGCCCTGTAATGTACCAGAATGGTGGGATGAAAAAAGTATGGAGAAGGCTTGGAATGGCTCATGATCCAAAGCATACCACATCATCTTTAAAACACAGTGGAGGCAGTGTGATGGCATGGGCATGCATGGCTTCCAATGGCACTGGGTCACTAGTGTTTATTGATGTTGTGATAGAAGACAAACAGCTGGATGAATTTTGAAGTGTATAGGGATATATTATCTGCTCAGATTCACCCAAATTCAGCAAAGTTGATTGGTTGGTGCTTTTCTTTACAGATGGACAGTGACCCAGAACATACTCCGAAAGCAACCCAGGTGTTGTTTAAGGCAAAAAAGTGGAATATTCTGCAATGGCTGAGTCAATCTGATCTCAGCCCAATTGAGCATGCATTTCACTTGCTGAAGACAAAGCTTAAGGCAGAAAGACCCACAAACAACAACTAAAGAAAACTGCGGTAAAGGCCTGGCAAAACATCACAAAGGAGGAAACAGCGTTTTGTGATGCCCATGTGTTTCAGACTTCAAGCAGTCATTGCATGCAAAGGATTCTCGACAGAGTATTAAAAATGAACATTTTATTTATGTTTGTGTTGATTTGTCCAATTACATTTGAGCCCCTGAAATTAGAGGCCTGTGTATGAAAATGGTTGTAATTCCTAAAAGTTTCATATTATATTTTAGTTCGATCTCTTGAATTGAAAATGAACCTGTGCACTTAAATTGCATCTCGGTTGTTTCATTTTGAATCCATTGTGGTGGTGAACAGAGGCAGAACTATGAAAATTGTTCCAGTATCCAGTTATTTATGGACCTAACTGTATATAAATCCTGACTTATCCATACAATTTTGTCTCTTGGCCCGGTGACAATATCTTGAAAATTTTGTATCTTTTCCAGCTCTTCCTTTATGCCTTTTTAATTTCCCCCCAGTTTCCCCAAAGTCCTTTTGGAAAAAAATGATGAAATAATGGCTCTATTTTTTGTTTGGTAGCACCAGGAATTCTCTCTTAATACTGGGGCTTTTATCCCATGGAGGTGTGGAGATGATAGGCTTATTTACAAATAATATAATTTACAATTGTAATCAGAATTATTTAACCTCCATTTCAAATCAGATTTATTGTCAAAATTGCAGATGTTTAGCTGTTTGCAATGAACAAATCAAACAAAAGCAACTGAAATAGCTCAACACAACAAAAGCGTCAAGTGGTTTCCCCAAATTCAACTGAAAATGCAGCTATCAATGAATTCTGCAATCTCAGAATTATTCAACCGCCTGAATAGATTCCCTCACAACAGCATAAATATGCAAAACAGGTGTCTCAAGCACAAGTGATGTAACGAATCAAGGGCTTCATTAGTGGCCCATTTTCAGTTGAATTTGGGAAAACCACTTAAAGCATTTGTTGTGTTGAGCTATTTGAATTGCTTTTGTTTGATTTGTTCATTGCAAACAGCTGAAAGTCTGTACATTTTTACAATAAACCTGATTTGCAATGGGGGTTGAATAATTTTGATTGCAACTGTAAGATTTTAGACTTGAAGCCTACATGAGTTTATCTGGAAGTAATCCCTATTGGTTTAAAGCATGGTGCCCTAGTAAAAGCATGCAGAAAGTCTAGTTGGTGTGGAGAAGAATGTAGCTAAGAATCTACTAGCAGATTTCTGAGCAGTCTGCAGTAGGTTAGTAAACTGTGCACACAAAATTCCTGCCTGGTCATCTGCTAATCGCTCAGTCTTGGTGCTCCCAATCTGGGAAGTAGGAGCCCAGCAGTAGTTTTTGGAGACTTCTTTGCTGAGGTGTCCAAATCCCTGAAGGATGGTAAATCTATAGATGGGATTAAATTTGCCTCTTGAGCTACCATTGATTGTTTAATTTTAACAAAAATAAAACAAAACACAAAGCTAATTTGAGAAACCTGAAGTCTGCCCATAGGCATAGTAAAAAAGGAAAGAGTCATTAAAGAAACTTAAATGTTCTATTGAGGATTATTATTTCAAAGATTATAACAATACATTAAGATTGTTGTATAATGACTTTCAGAACTAGCTTGTGAATTCTGGGATGAACAGCATAGTCTGAGTTTTGCTGCATCTCTCAATAGTAATAAGAATTATGTGCCAAATATTGCAACTGTGAAAGGGCTTGTGAAGAAATAAGTATTTTCGGGGAAAGACTGTTACATGAAAATGATAACAAATGGGCCATGGGCATCTTCAGAGGACAGCACAGGAAGGACTGTTACATGAAAATGATAACAAATTTTATATTTATTGACTGATTTTGATTATATATCTAGCAACTTTAGCATTCTATTTATAATCATGATGAACATCCTGTAGCACTTTAGATAGTAATAGTTCAATTATAAAAGTTTGGGTGATTGCATCAAATGTATGCAAATTGTGTGATTTTGGAGAAGCGCAGGGACATTTCTTTGTGTCTTGACACATTATATTGGCTTAATGGTGTGTCACAGAAACGTTTTGTAGTTATCCTTCTGCATGTGTAGTTCCTTTGAGTATTGTGTGTTCATTTACCGGATGTGAGAATCTAGCCAGTCCCTTGCTAGATCACAAGGTTTTTGTAGTCCAGCAAAACAGCTGATATTCACAGATAGCCCAACCTATCTAGTTAAATATCTCCTTTGAATTTATCCAATACTTTAAAAAACTGTCTAAGCTTGTGGTCATCACCACAAGTGTATCCTCCACTGTATGATGCATAGAATCATAGAATAATGCAGTTGTAAAGGGCCTATAAGGCCACTGAATCCAAAAAAGGCAGAAATGTTTTAATGTTCCCATGGTGTTAATAATTTTGTAAATCTCAACTTCCCAACCCCCAGTCTGCATTAAAAAGTCCCAGGTGTGTTACTCTGTAATTGTGTGGAAGATGATCCAACTTGTCTCTTTTGAGATAGAACAACAAAAACAATCGCAGTATTCCAGATGCAACAAGATGGTATGTATTATTTTAATGAAGGCTAATGCTATCAGCAGCTATCCATCAGGACAGCTGCATACTCTCTCCAGGAGAAGCAGGATACTTCATCATACCAACCAGTTGCACACTGTAGGGGTGGGGGGGAGATTTAAAGCCCTATGTAGCTCTAGTGTACAGTGCTGCTGCACTTGTTTGTAATCAAAAAAATCCCTCAGGAGATCTGCTATGATCCATCTAGTTAGCACCTAAGAAAGCCAATTGAAAGGGATTGCTATTATGGATTCGTAAGCTAAATATTTCAAAATTCACCTTGAGATTTCTGACAGTGGCCTTCTTCTCAAGTAACATTGTGGGCTAGAATGGGTTTTGTTTGTAAAGGATCGCCCCCTCCCCCCAATTCACTTCAGTATTTTAAAGTAAAAACTGCTCTATTTTTCTTTCTTTTCTCTTTGTGTTATAGCTCTGCCATTCTCGGAATCTTTTCTTATGAAGCAGTTCCTGGTGTAAAGTGCAAAAGAAATGGCCTGTGTAACGGACTTTAACTTCAAGGACCTGATATTTAGGTATGATTGCACCAGTAGCCTTTTGTTTTTGTATTAGTATATATTAAGTCATTTATCCTTTCTAGCATAGGATACCTTGAACTGGATGTCTAATAAATGTTACTGCTCATATATAGCAGGACCACTGGTAAGATTACTGTTTTCCTGAATAATAAAGAAGAAATAATGTGACTTGATATAGCAAAGATACAATATCTTTCTCATGGCAAACAATATCAGATGTGTTTATGATATCATGTACTGCATTACTGGAGTAAGTTGAATCCTTTTTCACTTTTGGTAGACTATCATCCATGGTTTTAATAATAACTGTATGAACTCCAGTAGAAAGTAGCCATTAGAGTAGATCCATTGAATCAACCCCTATGTAAGTTCCATAGACTCAATGGGTATTGTCAAGTTGTGACTTACTACTGAATATCAGCCATTGTGAAAAAAAAGTGTTCTGCTTATATACTGTTCTGTAGTGCTTAAAGCACTCTCTGGGCAGTTTACATTTATTATAATTATACAGGCTATATAGTCAGAGAACAAAACAATGTATGATTAGAAGTGCTCACATGCAAATATAGATGCATTTTCTCCACGTAGCCCCTAAAAAATTACCCTGGTGCCTTGCATGGTTCTTCTGAGGGTTTCCTGTACCACCAAAAATGTCCAGCAATGACTTGAATATTCAAGAAGAGTAATTCAATGTTATGAGAAAGAAAATCATATAAATTAGGAAAGATGTTTTACTTGTTTACTTAAATGCTTTGGAAATCTTTAAAATAAGTTGATTTGTACATGATAACACTAACCATTATGAGGTGTTTATGTGTGCAAGATGTAGTAAGTGAACAAAACTTTCTCTTCCTCTGGAGCCAGTAGAATTACTTTGATGGCATGTAGCCTCATTTTCACAGAATCCCTGTTTAACATTATATTTGGAGCTTAATAAGATGAAGATTAGAATAACAAAATTGATCAATTGTGCATTAAAACAAACATTCAAATCACTTCTACCCAAGGCAGTGTCAGTCTGTAGAAGGTTTGTTTAACCAGAACTGAAAATTCATCCTAGTGTATTAATAACAAACATAATATATCTTGACTTTAGCGAAGCTTTTTGACAAAGTACCCCATGATATTCTGATTAGCAAACTAACTAGGTGTAAACTGGATAGAAGAACAACTGTCAACTGTATACACAGTTGGTTAAGGAATCGTACCTGGAGAGTTCTTAGCAATGCCTCCTTCTCAATCTGGGAGGAGGTAACAAGTGGGCTATCACAAGGCTCAGTTCTGAACAGACTGATGTTCAGCATTTTTGTGAATGATTTGGGTGAGTGCATGCAGAGAATGCTTATTACGCAGAATTGGATGGAATAGCTATACCCTAGAAGACAGAATCAAAATCCATAAAGATCTCAACAGGCTCAAGCACTGGTCTGAATACAACAGGCTGAAACTGAACAGGGATAAGGGTAAAGATCTAAGCAAGATCTGTTCTCTGTCATTCCAGAGTACAGGACACATAATATTGGACTCAAAACTGAACAGGGATAAGGGTAAAGATCTAAACATGGGGGGGGGAACCAAACACGATGGGGAAACGCTGGTCAGTTATTTTCTGAACAAGAAGGATCCTCTTATTCTTTTAGATTATGAGATGTGTGATGCGGTTGTAAAAAAAAAAAGGCAAATGCTATTTTCAGCTGCATTAATGTAGTCTCTAAATTCCATGAAGTACTAGTTCCCCTCTATTCGACAATGCTTAAGCCTCATCTTGAGTACTGTATCAAGTTCTAGACACTGAACTTTAAAAAGGATGCCAACAAGTAGAGTAAGTTCAGAACAGGAAACAAGAATGACTGGAAATCAAGCTCTGTGAGGAAAGACGAAAAGAACGGGGCATGTTCTTGACAAAGGAAGATGTAATAGCGTGTTTTAAATACTTGAAAAACTGTCATATAGAGGGAGGGGCAAGATCTGTTCTCTGTCATTCCAGAGTACAGGACACATAATATTGGACTCAAATTACAGGTAGCCAGATTTTGGTTTAATTTTAGGAAAAACTTCCTAACTGTTAGAAGCAGTGTGACACTGGAACCAATTGCCTCAAGAGGTGGGAAATGTTTCAGTGCTGGAGCCATTCAATAAGGCAAATGCTATTTTCAGCTGCATTAATGGAGTCTCTAAATTCCATGAAGTACTAGTTCCCCTCTATTCGACAATGCTTAAGCCTCATCTTGAGTACTGTATCAAGTTCTAGACACTGAACTTTAAAAAGGATGCCAACAAGTAGAGTAAGTTCAGAACAGGAAACAAGAATGACTGGAAATCAAGCTCTGTGAGGAAAGACGAAAAGAACGGGGCATGTTCTTGACAAAGGAAGATGTAATAGCGTGTTTTAAATACTTGAAAAACTGTCATATAGAGGGAGGGGCAAGATCTGTTCTCTGTCATTCCAGAGTACAGGACACATAATATTGGACTCAAATTACAGGTAGCCAGATTTTGGTTTAATTTTAGGAAAAACTTCCTAACTGTTAGAAGCAGTGTGACACTGGAACCAATTGCCTCAAGAGGTGGGAAATGTTTCAGTGCTGGAGCCATTCAATAGAAAATCAGACAACCATCTGTCAGATATATGTTGATTTGGATTCCTGCACTGCGTAGGGGGTTGGACTCGATGGCCTTCTAGGCCCCTTCCAACTTCATTATTCTATGAGTCTATGAACACTAAGCTGAATTCTCTTGAATAGAATCCAAATACTGCAGAAGTCCTTCTCCCAGATTTTGTGGATGGAGAATGGAGAGTCTGTAATGAGCCCAGAGCCTTCCTCAGGCCTAAAGTGGGGACTCTCAAGAGCCTCCTCCAGCACCACAATTCAAAAGCATCAATTCTTCAGCAGTCAGCATTCTTTATGGTCCAACTCTCACTTCCATACATCACTATAGGAAAAACCATAGCTTTGACTATGCAGACTTTTGTCGGCAAGGTGATGTCTCTGCTTTTTAAGATGCTGTCTACGTTTGTCATCACTTTCCTCCCAAGAAGCAGGCGTCTTTGGAGCCGAAGAAAGTAAAATCTGTCACTGGCTCTATATCTTCTATTCTGTTTGCCATGAGGTGATGGGCAAGTGGCCATGATCTTAGTTTTTTTTTTCTGTTGAGCTTCAGACCATTTTTGCACTCTCCTCTTTCACCCTCATTAAGAGGTTCCTTAATTCCTCCTCACTCTCTGCCATCAGAGAAGTATCATCTGCATATTGGAGGTTGTTGATATTTCTTCCGGCAATCTTAAATCTGGTTTGGGATTCCTTCAGTCTGGCCTTTCGCATGATATATTGTGCATATAAGTTAAATAAGCAGGAGGACAATATACAGCCTTGCCATACTCCTTTCCGAATTTTGAACCAATCAGTTGTTCCATATCTAGTTGTCCCACGTATAATTTCTCAAGATATATATAAGGTGGTCAGGCACTCCCGTTTCTTTAAGGACTTGCAATAGTTTGCTGTGGTCCACACAGTCAAAGGCTTTTGCACAATCAGTTAAGCAGAAGTAGATGTTTTTCTGGAACTATGGCTTTCTCCATAATCCGGCCAGTGTTAGCAATTTGGTCACTAGTTCCTTTGCCCTTTCGAAATCCAGCTTGTACTTCTGGCAGTTCTCGGTCTACATACTGCTGAAGCCTGCCTTGGAGGATCTTGAGCATAACCTTGCTAGCGTGTGAAATGAGTGCAATTGTACGGTAGTTGGAGCATTCTTTGGCACTGCCCTTCTTTGGGATTGGGATGTAGACTGATCTTTTCCAGTCCTCTGGCCACCACTGAGTTTTCCAAACTTGCTGGCATATTGAATGTAGCACTTTAACAGCGTCATCTTTTAAGATTTGAAATAGTTCAACTGGAATGCCATCACCTCCACTGGCCTTGTTTGCCATGCTTTCTAAGGCCCACTTGACTTCACTCGCCAGGATGTCTGGCTCAAGGTCAGCAATCACACTACCTGGGTATGCTGCCTCCTGTACAATGTTACGAGCCTCCATCCATAGTTCTTCAGGCACTCTGTCCACCAAATCGAGTGCCTTAGATCTGTTCTTCACTTCCACTGTGTATTCATAAGGGATTTGGTTTAGATTATACCTGACTAGCCTAGTGGTTTTTCCTACTTCCTTCAGTGTAAGCTTGAATTTTGCTATGAGAAGCTGATGATCAGAGCCATAATCAGCTCCAGGTCTTGTTTTTGCTGACTGTATAGAGCTTCCCCATCTTCGGCTGCAGAGAATATAGTCAATCTGATTTCGATATTGCCCATCTGGTAATGTCCATGTGTAGAGTCGCCGCTTGTGTTGTTGTTGAGTGTTTGTGATAACCAGCTTGTTCTCTTGACAAAACTCTATTAGCCTTTGCCCTGCTTCGTTCTGAACTCCAAGGCCAAACTTCCCTGTTGTACCTTTTATCTCTTGGCTCCCTACTTTAGCATTCCAGTCCCCTAGAATGAGAAGAACATCTTTCTTTGGTGTCAGTTCTAGAAGGTGTTGTAAGTCTTCATGGAATTGGTCAATTTCAGCCTCTTTAGCATTGGTGGTTGGTGCATAAACTTGGATTATTGTGATGTTGAAAGGTCTGCCTTGGATTTGTATTGAAATCATTTTATCATTTTTCAGATTGTATCCCGGTTCAGCTTTTCCCACTCTTTTGTTGACTAAGGGCTACTCCATTTCTTCTACAGGATTCTTGCCCACAATAGTAGATATGATATTCGTCTGAATTGAATTCACCCATTCCCATCCATTTTAGTTCACTGACACCCAGGATGTCAATGTTTATTCTTGCCATCTCTTGTTTGACCACATCCAGTTTACCAAGATTCATAGATACTACATTCCAGATTCCTATGCAGTATTTTTCTTTGCAGCATCGGATTTTCCTTTTACTTCCAGGCACGTTCACAGCTTAGTGTCCTTCGGCTTTGGCTCAACCATTTCATTAGCTCTATAGCTACTTGTCCTTGTCCTCCGCTCTTCCTCAGTAGCATGTTGGATGCCTTCTGACCTGAGGGGCTTATCTTCCAGCGTCATATCTTTTAGGCCTTTTGTTTCTGTTCATGGGGTTTTCTTGGCAAAGATACTGGAGTGGCTTGCCAGTTCCTGCTCCAGGTGGATTGCGTTTAGTCGGAACTCTCCACTATGACCTGTCCGTCTTGGGTGTCCCTGCACAGCATAACCCATAGCTTCTCTGAGTTACTCAAGTCCCTTCGCCACAACAAGGCAGCAATCCGTGCATTTAAAAGTGCATTTACATATTGCTAAACCATGAATTATCTTTAAATGTGAACCCACTATCTTTCGATATACCCATACACAGAACTTAAAATGATAGCACTCATATGGTAGTATTTGTTAGCAGAGTGGATAAAAATTAATGATTTTTTAAAATCAAATTGGTTTAAATCACAATTTAAATCACAGATTAAATTTTAAAAATGATTATTTTGATTTAAATCAATTTGTTTTTTAAAAAAATCATTGATTAAAATGTATCTTAATATAATAACCTCTGCAACATCACTTTATAAATTGGACAGCCACTTTGCTTTCTTGCATTTCCTTTTCTTTGGGATGGTTTTTATTGCTGCCTCCTGTACAATGTTACGAGCCTCCATCCATAGTTCTTCAGGCACTCTGTCCACCAAATCGAGTGCCTTAGATCTGTTCTTCACTTCCACTGTGTATTCATAAGGGATTTGGTTTAGATTATACCTGACTAGCCTAGTGGTTTTTCCTACTTCCTTCAGTGTAAGCTTGAATTTTGCTATGAGAAGCTGATGATCAGAGCCATAATCAGCTCCAGGTCTTGTTTTTGCTGACTGTATAGAGCTTCCCCATCTTCGGCTGCAGAGAATATAGTCAATCTGATTTCGATATTGCCCATCTGGTAATGTCCATGTGTAGAGTCGCCGCTTGTGTTGTTGTTGAGTGTTTGTGATAACCAGCTTGTTCTCTTGACAAAACTCTATTAGCCTTTGCCCTGCTTCGTTCTGAACTCCAAGGCCAAACTTCCCTGTTGTACCTTTTATCTCTTGGCTCCCTACTTTAGCATTCCAGTCCCCTAGAATGAGAAGAACATCTTTCTTTGGTGTCAGTTCTAGAAGGTGTTGTAAGTCTTCATGGAATTGGTCAATTTCAGCCTCTTTAGCATTGGTGGTTGGTGCATAAACTTGGATTATTGTGATGTTGAAAGGTCTGCCTTGGATTTGTATTGAAATCATTTTATCATTTTTCAGATTGTATCCCGGTTCAGCTTTTCCCACTCTTTTGTTGACTAAGGGCTACTCCATTTCTTCTACAGGATTCTTGCCCACAATAGTAGATATGATATTCGTCTGAATTGAATTCACCCATTCCCATCCATTTTAGTTCACTGACACCCAGGATGTCAATGTTTATTCTTGCCATCTCTTGTTTGACCACATCCAGTTTACCAAGATTCATAGATACTACATTCCAGATTCCTATGCAGTATTTTTCTTTGCAGCATCGGATTTTCCTTTTACTTCCAGGCACGTTCACAGCTTAGTGTCCTTCGGCTTTGGCTCAACCATTTCATTAGCTCTATAGCTACTTGTCCTTGTCCTCCGCTCTTCCTCAGTAGCATGTTGGATGCCTTCTGACCTGAGGGGCTTATCTTCCAGCGTCATATCTTTTAGGCCTTTTGTTTCTGTTCATGGGGTTTTCTTGGCAAAGATACTGGAGTGGCTTGCCAGTTCCTGCTCCAGGTGGATTGCGTTTAGTCGGAACTCTCCACTATGACCTGTCCGTCTTGGGTGTCCCTGCACAGCATAACCCATAGCTTCTCTGAGTTACTCAAGCCCCTTCGCCACAACAAGGCAGCAATCCGTGCATTTAAAAGTGCATTTACATATTGCTAAACCATGAATTATCTTTACTGTGAATTATTGGTAGTACCAAGCAAATTGGTTTAAATCACAATTTAAATCACAGATTAAATTTTAAAAATGATTATTTTGATTTAAATCAATTTGTTTTTTAAAAAAATCATTGATTAAAATGTATCTTAATATAATAACCTCTGCAACATCACTTTATAAAATACTTGGATTTGGTATCTCTGTTTATATATCTAATTTCTTACATTTTCCCAAAATAAGCCACCATGTCTTGGATGGAAGTTCCCCTTTGGCTAGTACATATGCAGTATAATTCTTTTTGGGGTAGAATAGGATCCACAATATGTACATCTTGTAATCCTGGTGCAAAAGCAGCAGTGTTGTGTCACCATAAGGTGAAAACATTTTACTGGCATAACTTCTGAAGTGACCTGTCATCTTCAAAAGTCTGAAATTCACTCAGCTTTTCATGTGTTTAATGTGAAGGTCTGCAGGGGGTGTTGTATGTTTAGTTGAATGCACTCACAGCACTTATGTGATCAAGAACCATGAAAAAGCCTTAAGAGGCCTCTGAGCAGGTTTTGGATCTAGATGGCAGGGCTTGCATGTATATCTCTGCCTCTAGCCCTTATTAAGCCATACATAGATTCAGGTTTAATGCCTGAATAAGGGTCCATCTCCCTCCCTCTAGGTGCATATCGTATGTCTTTATCCCTGATAATGGTTTTATGCACTGGGACAGCAGTCCAGGTAATTTGGTGTACCATCTCATATGCTTTCACAACAGTTTGAGTAACGGTACTGTTACTGCCATTTATGTTTCTCTGAATCTAATCTCTCTATATTTTTGTTATCAAATTTTTTAAAAATAGTATTTTTTAAAAAAAGATCGTTTTATATTGGAACTCTTTAATGAAGATAAACATGCTGGATATTTACAATCCATTTGACTGGAATCGTGTGGTGGCTTTCTTTAAATTACACCATGATAATTCTGTTTTTTCAAACATTTCCTATTCCCACTCCTGGTCCCCCAAATTCCCAGAGGTCCTATGGATCCCATTTTGTTGTTGGGAATACATTGGGGCCTGTGGGATGTGCAGATGCAGTTCCTAATGAGTTCCTAAGAACGACAATAAAAAAGGAATTCCTTGGGAACCTTGCGGGGGTGTGTGAATGGAATATCCCCCCCCCCGAAAATTTGTTACAGCTGATTATATCATCAGCCTTGCATAGCATAACATATAGAACAGAATTTCAACCCTTGTATCGAATATTGCATGAACATGTATTTTTATGTAGTAGAATTATTAAAAATAATGAAACATCTGAGTTTATGGATTAGAAATTACATAGTAGTATGTTTATTAATTGATGTCTTCCCAGATTAGTCGAGATAAAAACTCATCACAGAATCTAATATGCCAAGTTTTAGCAGGACCACCCACTGTGCCTAGAATAGTATTATTCTTTAGTTTATGATCTGAGACCATGGAAGTTTCAAAAGACTCATTGCCAGTTGGTGGAAGGGTTATACTGTATTTGGACATGTGTTGTCGATGTGGAAAACTTTACTTTGAATTATTGGTAGTACCAAACAGGGACTTCTGCAAATCACAACATGTATCTTTGGCAATGGGTCCTACCTAATGCAGTCCTCTTGACCATGTGTTATTTTGTTCTGGAGGGGATGATAACATTGAGCTACAGGGGAGGAAGCTTAAGTGGGTAGAGAGGATCAGCAAAAATTGGGTGTCCTGCAAAACTACTGTCAGATAGAACTCTAGGTAGAACCGAGTCTTAAGTTACAACCAATATGTTTTAATTATTTTGTTGTTATGTGATATTATCTAGTTAGTGTACACATTCAGGAAATGTCTGCAAGATGGGAATTGATTTATATCTCGCTGTGGGAGAGCTTTTGAATCACAATATTAAATGCCTGGATTTAGAGAAGAGAGAGAGGCTCTCCAGCTGCCTTACTTAGATTTATTTGTGAAATTCTAATTTCTTTTAATGTAATGTAGTTAAGTAATTTTACTGACTTGCCATATTTTGAACATGTCTGGAATAAGTGAGTAGTTATTTCCTGTTTTTAAAGTTCAGTTTTAAACTTTCTATATTGTTGTTAGAAGCAGTCGTGTTCCTGTCATATTACATTGCTGTAGAATGTATTAGTTTTTTTTAAAAGCTGAAATATATTTTCTTCTTTCAGGATTCATATGGAGTAAAGAATCCTTGATTACTATAATGGAAAAAACATGGAGGCTCTGGACTTTCATTGAAAAATGTCTACTTACCTTGATGTCATGGTCCTGGGGACTCTGTCGTATTTCTCTCTTACCTTTGATAGTAACTTTTCATCTGTATGGAGGCATGATTTTACTTCTGTTAATATTTATATCTATTGCAGGGATATTGTATAAATTCCAGGATGTATTGCTTTATTTCCCCGAGCAACCCTCTTCATCACGACTTTATGTTCCTATGCCTACTGGCATCCCACATGAGAATATCTTCATCAGAACCAAAGATGGTGTGTTGCTTAATCTAATTCTCCTCAGATTTACAGGGGATAATTCTTCATATTCACCTACTATCATTTACTTTCATGGGAATGCAGGAAACATTGGTCACAGACTGCCAAATGCTTTATTGATGCTTGTGAACTTGAAAGTAAACTTATTGCTGGTTGACTATAGAGGCTATGGGAAAAGTGAAGGAGAAGCAAGTGAGGAGGGCATCTATTTAGATTCAGAGGCTGTTCTAGACTATGTAATGACTAGATCCGATTTGGATAAGACAAAATTTGTTCTCTTTGGCCGTTCCTTAGGGGGAGCCGTTGCTGTTCATCTAGCTTCTGAGAATGCCCATAGGATTTCTGCCATCATGGTGGAGAACACATTCCTTAGTATCCCGCACATGGCCAGCACTCTGTTTTCTTTCTTCCCAGTGAGGTACCTTCCTTTGTGGTGCTATAAAAACAAGTTCCTGTCTTACAGAAAAATTTCTCAGTGCAGAATGCCTTCACTTTTCATCTCTGGGCTGGCTGACCAGTTGATCCCTCCAGTTATGATGAAGCAGCTTTATGAACTTTCTCCTGCTCGGACTAAAAGAATGGCAATATTTCCAGATGGAACTCACAATGACACTTGGCAGTGCCAAGGCTACTTCAGTGCACTTGAACAGTTCATCAAAGAAGTGCTAAAGAGTCATTCCCATGAAGAAACCGAAAAATTGTCATCTAATGTCACAATAATATAACTAATTCCAGTCTGTCTTTTTGATTGTACCTGGACTTGTTGAAGATGATAAAGAATGAACATTTTAAAAATGTGTGCTCTTGTCTGTACTTGCCTAAAGAACAAAATTAAACATGGAGAGGTCTACTAACTTATGATCCAGATAGTTTTTACATTCAGTACTGTAAATGAATTGATACTTCTGGTTGTTTTGATAAACTTAACTTTAAATTCTATTTCTTAGAGAAAGGCACATTAATCAACTTCTTGCTAAGATTTTATGCTGATTTTACTGAAAGACAGAGATTATTTGTTTAGCAAACTCATATCAAGGATCTATGGTTTTACAAAAAATTAATGGACTATAAAGGCAGTTTTTCTTCTCCAGAAAAAGCCTTTACTCATTTCATATACTTCAGAATTTTTCAGAAGATATTCAAGACTTAGTTCTTATTTAGCCTTGAGAAAAGAAGATTGAGGGATGATATCTGAAAGGCTATCATACAGAGGAGGGGCAGGATCTGTTCTTGATCATCCCAGAGTGCAGGACACACAACAATGGACTCGAATTAAAGGAAGCCAGATTTCGGTTGAATATCAGGAAAAACTTCCTAACTGTTAGAGCAGTACGATAGTGGAACCAATTACCTTGGAAGTTGGTGAGTGCCCCAACACTGGAAGCATTAAAAAAACTTGGATAATCACCTAGCAGATATGCTTTGCTTGTATCCCCCCTTCTCAAAACAATAATTCATAAGGCAACTTCAGAATAACACAGTACACATTCATTGGGCCTGGTTGCAATAACAGATATACTAGCCAAAGTCCTGTTGCTTAGAGTAGCAAGTTTCACTTAGAGTAGGCCCACTGAATCGGAGATTTGGTGAGTTAATGCTGTAAGTTCCATTAATTCACATGAGCCTACTTATTTAGCACTGACTTATTGGTCTAAGCAACAGCTTAGGTGGGAATTAGAAAAAATCATCACATGCAAGGACGTTTCACTGGAGAATGTGAGTAGGTGGTGCCAGAAACAATTGATCCTAAGGGTGCTGTCCTCCCAGCCTGTTGAGCAGGAATATTTATATATTCAAGGACAGGTCATTTTTGAGATTGTTCATTCATGACTTGACCTGTCCTTTTATATATATATAAAATAAATGTATGTATGTATGTATGTATGTATAGATAGATAGATAGATAGATAGATATAGATATATAGATGTATATGTATATGTATATACAGTGGGGTCTTGACTTAAGAACGGCTTGAGTTAAGAACATTTTGACTTAAGAACCACTCTCTTAGGAAAATATTGACTTACAGACTTAGATTTGAGTTAAGAACTGGAAAAAAAACCACGTGGGAGGCAGGGAAAGTGCAAAATCTGAACATTCAGTTAATTGTTGGCCAGTGAAAAGGGTGCCTGTCTCCTTCCTCACTTCTCCCAGAGTTTAGAGAGTGGATTGGGAGTCTTCAGACTGCCTGGTACTGCCTGGACTGTATTTTCCCTGCCTTCCCTGAACCTTTCTTGACCTAAGAAAAAAAAAGAAACAAAATATCCCCCTCTAGTGGTCGAAGGCAGAATAGCAGCTTCCCATTAGTTTCTATGGACGGAAAAGAGCAGATACGGATCAAATGGTTTTCAATGCATTCCTATGGGAAATGCAGATTTGACCTGAGAACTTTTTGACTTGAGAACCGCCTTCCAATACGAATTAAGTTCTCAAGTCAAGACCCCACTGTATGTATATATATGTATATGTATATATATTATGTATATATGTATATGTATATATGTATATATGTATGTATATGTGTATATATATATATGTATATATTTGGCCTTCACTGCCAAAGAAGGCCTATATATATCAAGGACAGGTATATATATTGGCATGTGAAATTTCTTGGCATGGATGAACTTGTTGAGCCTGTGGAGGTCCAGGATTGGTCTGAGGCCACTGTCCTTTGGGACCTTGAAGAAGCAAGAGTAATGACCTCTGCGATGAGGTACTGGCTGGATCACATCTTTGTAAAGTAGGGAGAGGACCTCCTGTTCAAGAACTGCTGAAGATGAGGTTTGTTTGAACATTCCCACTGGGGGAAGGGAGTAGAAATCTGTAGCATAGCCATGACCGACAGTGGCGAGGACCCATTTGTCCAAGTAACGCAGAGACAAGCTGGTAGGAAAGGGGCCAATGGTGGAGAGGAGTCCGGAGAAAGAGGTTGGCTCAAACAAATGGTCTTGGAGATCAAAGACTCTGATTTGTGGTCCTGGCATTTGGAGACCTAAGGGGACCTATACTTCTGACGTTTGCTCCTCTGTGAATAATACCGTAAGTCATAGTTGGATGTAGATGGAAAAGATCTCTGCCTGTCATAGGATTGTCAAGGTGGGGGAGCAAAAGAAGGGCACCTCCAGGGTTGGCAGGAGGAATGTTGTTGTTGCTGAGGGTAAACTCCCAGCCTCTTGGGAGAACTGTGCTTCTTTTGACGTTCATCCATGATATCAGTCTTATTGTGGAAAAGATTGTCACCATCAAAAGGGAGATTTTCAATCTGAGTATTAACATCTGCCAGACCAGCCAAATGGAGCCAAGCATGGCATCTGATGGTGACTGACATAGCTGTAACTTTGGCAGCACAGTCGACAGCATGGTGGGCTGTGTGCATTTGCTGTGCTGCTACAATCATGGCTTCTTGGTATATGGCAGCAATGTCTGCATGGGCTGAGCCAAGTAAAGTGTCCAGGGGGGCTGAAGCTTATTGAGGAGTAATGAGGTGCCTGCCTATACTATCCAACTTGCGGACCTCCCTACTCTGGGGGACTGGTACCTTTTTACCCCTTGACCTAATCTGGGAGGCCACTATGATCACCGAATCAGGATGTGGATGTTTTAGAACAGTGGTTCTTAACCTTCGGCTACTCAGGTGTTTTTGAACTGCAACCCCCAGAAACCCCAGCCAGCACAGCTGGTGGTGAAGGCTTCTGGGAGTTGCAGTCCAAAAACACCTGAGTAACCCAAGGTTAAGAACCACTGTTTCAGAATAAAGGAGACTCCCTTGTCATGGATCAATTCTCCTGGTGGTAGGAGCTGAAGATGCTGGCTTTTTCCAAGCATCCTTTGCTAAGGCTATGAGAGATGGGTCCATTCCGAGATTAACTGGAGAGGAAGCATCAGAAGTAATCTGATCATACAGATGATCAGAATGTTGGGGCGAAGGTCTATGAGTAGCTAAATTGAGAGAAGAAGCCATGCAGATTATGAAATCAGAATAAGCCTTAGTATTTTCAGAAGGAGACAGAGAATTTGGGCATCACCTACTACAGACATGGGTGTTGTGATGATAGCCGAAGGAGGCTCAGACTCCAATTCAGAAAAAGAGGATGAATCCGAAGCAGATGGTGAGGCAGGAGGGTGATGAATGACAGGAAGTTGAGTTTGATAATTCTGGTGCATCGATTGGGAGTGCTGATACTGTGGCTGGGCTTGAGGATTGGATCTGAGGGTGGCCAGAGCCGAAGATGGCTGATGAAATTGAAGGTGTGGATTGGAACTAACAGAAGGTGGGAGCTGGCACTGCTGCTGGGGTTTTATCAATTGGCACTGGCTAGAAGCAGGCAGGATCGAACCCGAAAGGAGGGTCTTGAAAGTGATGGACCCCAGCAGGCACCGGAGCCAAATAAGCCAAACTGCAGTGATGGTAACCCAGTTTCAAAATTGTCAGATCCGAAGTCGCTGGGGAGGAATAAGAATATCCAGAACAGAGAGGTGAGCATACTTAGCCTGCATCGAATCCCAGCTACGAGTATGCCTACAATGCTTTTGGCCATGTCTCAGAGTTGAGAGGGCCCCGGCTGGGGCAGCCACAGCTGGAGCCAAGGGGGGGACCCAGATCATGCTCAGTCTGGGGCAGAGCCAAAGGAGGTATCTGAGCCAGCACGGAGGAGGCCAGCAAGTGTGCCAAAACAGAGGGCACGGGTAAAGTGCCAGAGACCACCACCAAATGGGCAGCATGTTGTGCGTGGACAAAGCTGTTTGTATTGTTGGAGCTGGCATAGGTGGGGGGGGGCAGAAAAAGCCCTCCCCTCAGAGTAGTGCCCAGTTGCTCTCTGTGAAGGTAAGTGAGAGGCTCCCCTTTGCTCCAGAAGAGGCACCTGGAGGTAAGGAATCTGCTGAGGAGGCTGCCAATAAGGCTATGAGGAGACCTGCTGGGGCTCTGAGACAGATGGATCCAAAGCCTGAGGTGGAGGGAGAGGAGCAAAGGAGACTGAGCATCAGGCGGATCCGAAGTCTGAAGTCAAGGAGGAGCTCCTAAAGAAGCAGACAGCTGAGGGCGAAGCTTCGGATGCACAGCCAGAGCCAAGGATATAGAGGCTGAAACCTGATAGGAGGCGTCAGGGCCTGATGGAGCCGAGGCTGTTGGAATCAGAGTGGTGAAGAGGCCTTGCAAAAAACCTGGATCTTCCAGGTGAGGAGGAGGAGGAGGAGGAGAAGAGTTGGGAGTCTGAAGACGGAGAGGCAGAGCGCTAAGTGGGGGGGGAACCTCCCAAAGTCCATCCCTGGATCTAGTAGGGCCAAACATTCCTCTGTTACTCCCTAATTGTTTCTTATAAAACGGGTTTTTCTGACTAAAAGAGCCTTCTTCTGTCCTCTAATGGCCAAAAATATATTTTAAAAATGATTGGGGGTGGGGGGGGAGGGACATGGCAAAATTGCCTTTGTGACTCATAGAGGACAACAAACGAAGGAAGGAAGGAAGGAAGGAAGGTGTGGGAGGTGCTAGGAGGCTACCTCTTGCCCCTTTGGAGCCACACATTTCTTACCCTGATTTTAAGGATGAATTCAGGTATGAAACATTTCAGACAATCAGCCTAGGTCATGATGCCTGGATGGCAAAGACATAATATCAGTGGTAAACAGCTAGAAAATGAAGTTGAAACTGAAAGGAGGAAGATGGGTTGAGGAACCACAGAAACAGCAAATTGAAAATTCACAGAGCAGAGCGGTTTAGATTTGCCTCAATAGGACCATATGACAGGAAGCGCAGGCTGTGGGCATTCTGGCTACATATCTTGGATGCAACTGGCCAAATGTATTTAGTCCCCAAAATGAGTAGCAGCTGAAGTTTCCATCTGGCTTTAATAAAGGAGATATGACATTTATGGGCCACATGCAAAGAAAACGCTCTCCCTTCGTCTCCTCTTCCTCTCACCCTACGAATGGTTTGGATCACAAAGTGCTCTTACTAGCCTTTCTGGGGTTAGCCGCGTTTGTGTCGTCTTGCCTCGCAGCAATCTCTCTGTACTATGTTACTGCACTGAAAACAGAACTGGCAGCCCTGACCAACGACCTGAACTACAGGATCCAGACAAGGACGTCCTTTCCCTTATCCTTCAGGCCTCTGGAAAAGAGCAAAGAGGCCAGATCATTCGTCCCCTCGCACCTGAAGGTGTTAGAAGCTTCTTCTAGCCAGGTGAGTTGGGAGGACCCCCCACAAGTTGGATCAACTCTGGGAAACCAGCAACATGTGGGAAATACCGTCCCAATTGTCATGGTATGTGTTGTTTTATTGACAGGGAATTCTTCCTGGACTACATCAAAGAAGCCACAAGGCAGTGTGGAGTCGCAACAAACACAGGGGGAAAAGGTCTCCTCTGCGCGCAAGTGAAACAGGTAAGAAAGAGATCTGAATAAAGAGGCCAAGCTGCTAACTATTGGAAGGCCACTAAAGAGAGTCCATGGAACTGTGGATAGAGCAGGTGTGTTTTAGAGAGAGATTTAGATTTCATTGGCCAGGAGAGGGCCATGGGGCCCAAAAATCTGCACAGAAATTATCAGTCTGGTAATTATAATGCAGTTTGAAAAACCATGTATCTTTATGACCTGTGCACTTATGTCCTGCATGGTGATTATCAAGCAGTGTGACTCATTTCCCAAGGATTATCAATATTTCAGGGGAAATGTCTGTAGTCTGAAGAAGCATATTCAGTATTGTAAATATTTATTTGAAAATAGGGATGAAACAAAGTTATTACTTTCTTAAGTATGCAATTGATTGCATTCTCCTGTGAGATGCAATAATGCACTACTTACCATTCTTTTACTCTTATCTCTGAGCTATATGGGTGTTTTTTTCTTCTGCTGTGCAACCCCCTTAATGTTTCTCTATCAAATCTGCCAAACTCCATGCACCTTTTGCCCCATTTGTGGTGCTATATATTAGGTGTGCGAGTCCAGTGCTTATTCACCTTTCCCCTTCTCTCCCCCAATCCAAGTCATAGTCGGTCAACTTTCAAATGAAATAACTGACAAGGCAGGTTTGAAGGAGGCATGGGATGTTTATCAAAAGGGGAATGGGTTGAAATCAATTGAAATGGTGACCTAAACCATTTTTAAATTTGAAACACTTCAGATCTGCAATTAGTCTTGTTTATTATGGCTATTTTCTTTTAAAAAGATAAACTGTTTAAATGCACAAATTATGGAAATAACTTGTAACAGTCAGTCAAATTCATACTATTCCATATGGCCTTAAAATACATCTTTGCAAAATTGGCATTTTAAAATAATGGTTTCAAATTTGCTTTTAAATAATTAAAAGGAAATCTATTACTGTACATTGGTTTGGAAGTAACTGTGGGCAGAAAAAATGATTAACAAATACATTTAATAAAATTTATATCAACTCTTAATATATATGAAAAACATCTGTCAAAACATCTATTACATCTGTTGAGATCATACAACACATTTTTTTATTTTATTGTTTTTATGTTACTGCTGTTATAACCATACAGTATATTGGAAAGGTGGAATACAAATATACTGTAGCTAATACATAAAGAATGGTTGATGTGTTCAAATATACAGCACAATTGTTTAGATCAATATATCTAGAAGTAGAAGATGTGTCAATATAATATTCAATAGTATATATTATTCCACCTGCTTTGTATGAGCAATCCAATTTTTGTTCATCTGAATGGCACACATCTTTTGCTTCATAGTTGTTTATCTGAAGAGGAAGTCTGTCAAGGGCTGGCTAATTTCACAGAGATGTCTTTAATAATGGGATTCTGCTTGCTTTATTTCATTTTGTTAACTGAATTAATTTTCAGAAAAGGATTACAAAAGGTTTAGAATAAATAAATAAAATAAAGTTGATAGCAAAAAAAATGCTACCTATTAGCCATTAATTGTGACTATTTTGAGCCCAGTCTTACATTCTGTTGCATGATGTTTGCATTTAAATGAGTGTAAATTAGTTCAGAGATAAAGATGATATCTAACCTGATACTGTCTTTAGCTATAGTCTAGTCCTGTCCACCACACCATTAAGGTCATAAGCAGACATTATAGATAGCCTGTAATTAAAGCTGAATACATGTTAATGTTGGAAGGATGTGATTTAGATAGACTTTTGTGTCTGAGAAATCAGACTTTAAAAAAACATGCCTAAATTCAGAAAAGCAACTACTCAACAGAGCAAATTCATTTGCAGATAATTGCCAAGGGAAGCTCCTGTTGTGACAATCACATGGCATCAGCCCTTAAGGATTTTCCTTTTCTAATTGTTGGCTAGCTATAATGTCTGTTTCTGCTTTGACAGTAAGGGGAATATCTCAACTTGGTTTAGATATAATTTAAATATCTGAATTTATCAGGATGGAGTGTGAAGGACCTAACAAGAAGACTGTCATTTTGCAGTACTGCACCTCATGGAAAGTGTCTGTTTTTCTAGCATTTTAGTTGCTTTGTTGTTTCCCACTAATTTGAATATCTCTCTTCAGTACTGCAGTCATGTCTACAATTGATGGCTGACAGCAAAAGTGACATTCAGCAAAATGGTAATGTAACATTCTCTTATCTTGACTTATTTTTTTGCCTTCTCCCAGTTCCATTTCACATGTTGCAATGCAATCAACTACTGAAGCATCCTATAAGGAGTACCTTCTTCAGTGAGATGTGTATTGAAATTGTGCATGTACTCCAAGAACTCCCGCCTTGCCCTTTTTGGCTGCAGCCTTCGGTGAGTGGCTGGGAGTTTGTTCCAATGGCCCAAACACTTTCTAGAGTAGCTTTTGGAGAAACATGAAAAAACCGCAACTCTCACATTGCTTGTGAAAACTATTCATCTTAAATAAACACAGACACTGTATTTCTCTTTCAAAAATGCTACTAAAAGGAAATGAGCAATGATTAACTCCCTCTTTATGAAAAATCTTGTTTTCTTCTTCTTTTTAGATGATTCAAGTATTGTTCCATGGCTTCTTAGCTTTAAAAGAGGAACAGCTCTGGAAGAGCAAGGGAATAAAATACTGGTCAGAGAAACTGGCTATTTTTTCATTTATGGCCAGGTAAAAAACCAAGAACAATTCCAGTAATCTTGAGTGTGTGTGTGCTTTTCACCTTGTTTATATACACCATCAATGATACAAATTAAATCTGTCTGTTTTCTTTCTTCAGGTTTTATACACAGATGATATGTTTGTAATGGGGCATTTGATCCAGAGGAAAAAGGCTCATGTAGTTGGTGATGATCTCAGTTTGGTGACCTTATTTCGTTGCATCCAAAACATGCCTCTCACTAATCCTAACAACTCTTGTTACACTGCTGGTAAATATGATACCTACCCGAAATAGATAATTTCCTTACTTACTGAAGGGGCAAGAATTAACACATTGAAAACATTTGGCACTCGGTGATCTGTTTTATTTGTTTTTTCCAATTTTCCAATTTTGGAAAGAAGGCAATTTTGGAAAGAAGGCAAGAAGCGTGGAACCTGCCACACTTCTTGCCTTCTAGCCATTCACTCGATATATTAAGCATAATACAAGGATTCTTGAAATTCATTACAATGACTTGCTTTGTGGTAGTTAGTGGTGACTATCTGTTAGGGTGAGAAAAGCTGTGCCCACTCAGGTAGAAATAACTATTGCTTTAGATTGGGGTGTGTTTTTTTTGTCAATATGGCAAGATCTGAGGTCTAGTTCAACCACTTTTCTGTATGTGGTAGAATAAGAGAGTCACAATTCATATAAAGTATGACCCCTGTATCTGTAGGATCAGTATCCACAGTTTCACGTATCCATGGTCTGAAAATAGGAAAAATATTAAAAGAAAAAAATCCAGAAAAGAAACTATTTTTATATCTATTACCAGACCCAGACACTAGAGGGAGCCAGAGATCATATGTACTATGAATACTTGTTAATGAAGAATACATGGTGTGGTCTGTGGCACTCTCTAGTGGCGTGTTCTGGTAATGCATGTGAAAATAAGAGACTTCACTATTATCCCCAGTGGGTATGGGGGTCCTACTGTAATTCTTGCCCTAAAATGCATATAGAAACATTTATAAAATCTCATCTGTGTGCATTGATATATCGACAGCACTGTGGGGAGGGATGTGACTGTGTTTCCTCTTCCACAAGATGAAGTTTGTTGCTACTAAATTGGGCCCATGCTATACATAGGCCTCTTAATATATTTTCTGAAATGTTAACTATTGCATCTTGCCACTCTGACTGGCATACACTCAGATCCACACCCCACCCTTTTATCTTCACAAATATCCAGCCTAGTAGGATAGGTTAAGAGAAAGTTACAATCATCAGTGAGTGGGGATGGCCAAGTGGGGATTTGAACTCATATCACCAGTTTTATTCTGCTATATTTTCTACACCACACTGGTGTTTCTTACTAATCCTGTTGGCATCCTGCCCATCTCTGGGGAGAGGCTTGCACACTTACACCTTTTGGGCAATGCACCTTTATCTTATAATTACACTAAACTGAAGAGATAGTCCTGTAGACAGGAAAAATTATAACCAACCTGAGTGGTAAGTTTTGATATGTTTTGGTTTCTGTGAGACTTGAGCTTAAGGATTTTCAAATCTCTTGGCAGGTATTGCAAAATTAGAAGAAGGAGATGAGCTTCAGCTTACTATACCACGAAGAGAAGCCAACATAGTCTTAAATGGAGATGCTACTTTTTTTGGAGCAGTCAGACTTCTGTAATTCCCTTTGCTTGATCCTTCATTTCCCAACATCTTCCTATTCTCCAGTTACACACAAAATTGTTTTTTTTCCTTCGTCTTTAGTTAGTTGAATTGTTCATTGATTTTTTTGTTTTATTAACTTATTCAAAACAGGAAACTGACCAGATGTGTTTTTGTTACACCAGCCTCCCATATGGATTACCAGAAATGAAACTGTCTTTAGGAGAATATAAATAGTAGCTGTTATGTAAGAACCTAAGACAAATTGTACTGGATCTGATCAAGGTTTAATCTAGTACAGCAGCCTGTTCCTGACGGGCCATTCTAGAATCAGGGCACAAAGGGAAAGAGCCCTCTTTGCTCAAAGTGGCTACTATTGGACAGAGATGGCTCACAGTTTTAACAAGAAAGAAACAGCATTCATGAACTCTGTATAAGGTGTTCCACAGTAGTCAATTAAACTGTGAACTCTTGCTATTAGTGTATTGTCTTCTTAGGAAAATATAAGCACCAATGGTCACAGTCTATAACTGTGGGTTGCAACCCAACCTAGTCATACTTAGAATGTACTGGTTTGAAATTGATGGGACTTAGATGCGACACAAAGTAATCGCACTGATTTCAAGGACCCCCAAGTACTCTTTAAGTTTGGACTGAACTCATACTTATGTTAGACAAACATGCTTATAATTTATACCATAAAGATTTGCTTATGAATAAGTTGAAACAATTCCAGTGAGGTTTGCATACAAGTAACTGAGCAAAAGGGTGCACCTTTAAACTAGAAATAGTTGGAAATGTCAAAAAAATGTTTTTTAAAAGTATGTATGTTAATGTATGCTATTTGCTACAGTAGTTGCAGATGATTATCAAAGCTATTCAGATATATAAGATGAAAATGCTTACTCACTTCCTGGTGGGTTTTGAATATCTGTATTGAAATTCTGCCACCCTGTTTTATTCATATGTTTTCACATTTGTACAGTGAAATATAAACGAACAGAGAGATCTCGTTGCAAGTTGTCAAATTCTAATGTACGTTATCCAAAGGTAGACTCAGCCCTCTATAGCAGTGGTGTGCAATGTGCAATCTTATCCTAAATTAAGATTCAAAAAAACCTTCCCCTAAAGCCTAACTTGATCAGCTGGGTTGTGGGTTGTCATGTGGGGAAATGCTGCTTCTTGGCTTCCAAAAACATCTGTTAGTTTTATTTGCTTGATACTTATTTATTTAAAATATTTATACCCCATCTTTCACCCAAAAAGTACCTGAGGCTGGCTTACAGTATTAAGAAATAGACAATATTAAAAGCTAAGACCCATAAATTATTACAATATTAAAACAAAAGAATTAAAGAATTTTCTCTACCTAACTACTAGGAAAAAAATTACTGAAAACAATATAAGAACAACACAGTAATCCAGTTTTACGAATCCCCTCTTAGATAACCAGTCACTGAAAGAAAGCCTGCCTGAAGAGGAGTGTCTTTATCTGGCTTGTGGGGGAACAGCAGAGCTTCCCAGAACCTGGGAGCAGCAACAGAGAAGGCCCTCTTCTGGGTTCCCACCAAACACAACTCAGTTATGGCCACTGTCACTAGCGTGCAACTTGACGGCACATAACAACAACATTGATGAATTACTTATAATGCAAATTAAGCTGCCCAGATATGAGCTAGAATATGGCAGCCTTTGGAGTGGGGAGGAGAGGCTTTGACTGTTAGGTCTACCTTCACGTTTCATAGCATTTCTACCAGGGCATTTCAATGGCAGTGCTAATTAACTGTGAGGATGGACTTATCGACTTATTAATTTAAAATACCCCACACTTCCTGCTTGAGAGGACCCAACATGCCTTACAATACTACAGTGCTTGGAGGGAAAGATGCCCTGGGGACGCACCCAGACCCTCAGTCGGCACAGAGAGAGGGGCATGGGGTCCAGGGCAAAAGTGAGGCCGGTTGTTATCCCACGGTCATTAAAAAGGGGATAACGGAGGCCAGTTTGGATGGCCATTTGAGAACCCAAGGTGGAAGCCTGAATCTGCACTACAGCAGGACCCCCCCCCCTTTGCCAAAGGATTGGCAATATTGATGAGAACTGAATAGAGTTTAATAAAGTGTGGCCCGTGTTTAACCCATATGCTTGGCCTTGCGTGGTTATTCTGGGGTAAGGGGGCAAAGGTATTTGCCTGGCTGTGGAAGGGCAGTAAAGATGGGGCTGTCCTATGCTCCCTTGAGGGGGAGTTCCAGAGTTTGGGAGGAGCGAATGCAAGGCCCTCTCCAAATGCAGGTGAGGGTGGCAGGATGGAGGGAAAGGCCACTTCCTATGATCTTAAAAACATCATAAAAGGAGAAGTGAACTAGAGGTTTAGTCTAGAAGTGTGTCTCTTTCCCTCCAGTCTTAGGCATAATCTGGACTTTCTGGGCTCATATGCCTGGATTAGATGCTACTCTTTTGGTTCCTATGCAGCTTGAATATGATGTCAAGGTTTTGATATTGTAATACAGTTAGAATTTATTAAGACAAATAGATATTTGGTCAAGCACAGCAGGTGCAATTACTGAGGAAAAAGTGAAGAGTCAAGCTGTATAGGCAGATGATGCAAGACGTTGATCTAATGTCATTTGCCATTGGCTGCTGTGAGTATACTGTATGTTTGTATGGATACATGTACAATTTGGTTCAGTTTGAGAGCCTATGCTATGCTGAACTCAACTGCTCTGACAGTTCATTTACTCAGATGCAGGGATGCTGCCAGCTTATCTGTTTGTCTTTGTATATATCATATCATAGAACCATAGAATCACAGAGTTGGAAGAGACCACAGGGGCCATCGAGTCTAACCCCCTGCTATGCAGGAACTCCATCAAAACACTCCCGACAGATGGCCAGCCAGCCTCTGCTTAAAAACCTCCAAAGAAGGAGACTCCACCACACTCCGAGGCAGCCTATTCCACTGTCGACCAGCTCTGATTCTCAGGAAATTCTTCCTGGATTCAGGTGGAATCTCTTTTCCTGTAGTTTGAAACCATTGCTCTTTGTCCTAGTGTTTGGAGCCCTGGAAAACAAACCTGTCCCTTCTTTGACATGACTGTCACACACCCCCCCCCAGTTCCCCTGTTTGTTCTTCTACACAGCCCAAGTTCACTTTCGGGCATGAGATTTAATTTTCATTCTTTTCCGCTGCCACCAGTGGATTTCTTTTATCCACAATGTAAATTATTTCACTCAAACACTGGCTGTCAATCATTGAAAGTTTTTATTAAAATTACAGATGTTCTTTCTTTATTTACTGAAAATCACCATCATTGAAATGTCTTCTTTTGTTTATTTATTTGCCATTTAATCAACTTGTGTATCGGAAGATTCTAGAGTTAAAAGTAACAATTTTATGGTGTGATCCTCCACGAGGTATATGCTCCTCCCACCCACCATCTTCCCCAGTTCCTTTTTTCCGCCGAGCTGGACGGTTCTCAGGAAAGATTGAGCGCTTCGCTATTTGCCTTTTGGCTATTTTTCTAGGCTCTTTTGAGCTTTTGTTCGCTTATCTCTATTTAATTATCTACTTAGTGATCCTCCGCATCTTTTTGTTTGCCTAATCGGCTTCCCGCAGTCTTTTTATTCCCTTCCCCTTTCCCCTCCCCCCCCCACTAGTCCTTTGCTTATGGCCTTGCCGTCTCCTTTTTAATGTTGTAAAACTTGTGCAAATAAAATCGCACTTTTGGACAGTCATAGCCAGTGCCTTTTTTGCCTGGGCGAGAAACATCCGACCCATTCGTGCCCTGCTTGTAAGAACTTAACCAAGCCGGCACTTAAACAGAGGCTCCAAAGACTTCGGTCTTACCTTTGGCAAACAGCCATGAACCCTCCTACTACATCTTCAGAGGTGGCTAGATCTCCTGCCCTCTCAGCCGATAGACTTCCAGCAGGCCAGTCTACTTCTGACTCTACCTCTGTGCTACCAGCTAAGGACACTGAGAAAACAAAATCGTCTGGTAAGCACAAGTTGCCCTCCTCTCAGAAGTCTTGAGCTCGAAGAAAAAAACTAAACCTGCCCCTAAGAGGCTTAGAAAGGACAGGCTTCCCTGCATGGAGTCCCCTCAGCCTTCTCTGCCTTCCCCTATCCTCGAGGAATCATCCAGAGAAGCCCCTGACTTAGCCTCGGATGGAGATGAAGCCCATGATGTCGGGGCTCCCCCCATGATGCCGCTCCAAAACCCGAGCATTGGCCTCAGTGTGGCTGCACCACAGTCCAGCCCGGCCTCAGCCCACTCCAACCCTGACTCAGGGCAGGCAGCTGAAAGCTCGGCATCTGATCTGGAGGTTCCCCCTTTCCCTCCACAGAAGAGAACAGAAAAACGAAAGCACCTTTCCCCACCGAGGTCTGTGCCATCGCAAGGCGATGTATGCCTCTTTCCAATGGTACCATACCATTTTGACCCCTTCATCTGGCAAACCCTGTATGAAAGGTACCAGCCTGACCAGGCTAAACAGCCCCGAACGATGCCGGAACTCCTCCATGCCATCCCCTTTATGGACTCGAATCGCTTCCACGCGTCCACTTTGGCCCCGGTAGTTTCGGATCCATCTGTACCCCTCCTACCCCATCTAAGCCAACTCCACTACCTCAGATGCGAGACAAGGCTTACAAGGCTTTACCACTACGTCCCGCACCCTCGATGCCGGACCTGATGACATCTCAAGACCCTTTTGAGGTCCTGCCGACCCAACTGCACCAAGCTCCCCTGACAGACAGCTTCGGTCCATCAGACTACCCTTCATCTCCAGGCTCCCCTGCATATTCAGAGGCAGAACACTGAGTCCTCCCATGAGCCCGAATTTCCCCCTCCAATCCCAGATACGAGAGGCAGCCATGCTTCGTCCTCTTCAGATGACTTCTCCTCATATTCTACCCTTATTTTCCAAATGGCTCAAGCCCTGAATCTCGACACCGAACAGCCCTCGTCCGCTGATGCCGATCCGGTGTTCGACGACATCAACCAGGAGCGTCCTGTTCCTTTGAGTCTTCCCTTTAACAAGTCTATCCTTCAACTTATTAAAGACACTTGGGCAAAGCCTCCTTCCACTTTGCAGATCTCTTGCCGCACCGATGGCCTCTATAGGACCCACGGTGTCGATGCCGAATTCCTTAACAAGCATCCAGTGCCTAACTCTATCATCGTCGAGTCCAGTCAGGCTGGAACCCAGGCTAGATCCAAACCTACCGTTGCCAATAAAGACGGCAGAAAAGTTGATACAATGGTGAAACGAACCTACCGTCTGCAAGCTTTTTTGCTCAGAAGTATTAGCTACCAGGCAACTATGGGCGCCTTTCAGCGTCATCTTTGGAACCAAGTCCTTCCTCTGATTGACTCAACCCCTGAACCCATGAGATCTGATCTCATCAACATTCATTCACAAGCCATTTCTCTGGCCAAGTACCAGAGGATTGCGGTGCGATACTCCACTGAGACCACTTCTAAGACTTTAGTTACCTCTATTTCTATTCGATGCCATGCCTGGCTCAAATCCTCAACAATCTCTGATGACACCAAGTCAAGAATCGAGGACTTGCCTTTTGATGGCGCCGGCCTGTTCAGTTCTACAACCAACGATGCCATGGAGGACTTCCATAAGAAGCGCAAGACTGTGCGCTCTTATTCTGCTCAGCCATCTACTTCCTATCAACGGCCCTTCTACCGTTCGGGCCAGTTTCACCCTAAGCAGTATCAAAATCAAAGGTTCCAGCCTTACAGACAGTATTGCCCCCATCAAACCGACAGGTTCCTACTGCCCCTCAACCTCTGATGGCATCGTACCGGCCTCAAAGCCTACCTCGTCAACGTTCACCCTTTTGTAAAGGACAACAGAAGGGTAAGCAATATTGACAACTACCTATGCCTGCCTTTTCTGACATTCCTCTTTACCCACTGAACTGTACCAGGCTGGCCCCATTTTTCCATCATTGGCAATCCATCACCTCAGACAAATGGGTTCTATCCATCATAGCAT